AAGAAAATTAAAGCTCAGAGAGGCTAAATAAATTAGCGAGGTGATGACATCCACGAATAAATGGAGGAGCTAGGATTAGAATCTAAGTATGATTTCAAAGCTTAGTCTAGTAATAGTGAGTCCACTAGTCTTTTCCTTGTGATCTGATATTAAAAGATCTTTTTAGCTGAGACATTTCAGAAACTGGGCCCATGAGTTTGCAGACTGTGGCACGGCCTCCACATTTGTGTCAGTAGTAGCAGGGTAACATTGTCATAAGTAGGCATGTTCTAATTTAAAGCAATATTTTGAAATTACTTCATACATTTTAGGAAATGATGATAGAAAATACTTTAAACGGTCTGTTCACTGTAGCATTGTGTTTTTTATTTTTAATTTTAAGTAATTAAGGTAACACTGTGGGTATTTGTATGTGTTCTGTGGTCTTTCTGCCATCTGCTTTTACTATCTTCCAGTATTGTCTGTGGGAGAAAAATACCTCAGCATGCAATTTTGGTAAGACTGTATAGTTACCTGAGTGCTAGAGAATTTTAGCTTCTTACTCAGGCTATATTTTAATATCTTTTGAATATGGTGTTTCTCTAACACCTTAGAAAATTGGCACATGTGAAATTTTTTTTACTCTACTGAACACTAATGGAAATGCAGTGAACATATAGATAGACACTAGGGATGGTAAGAAAAATGAAGTGATAAAGACTACAAGGAGCTAGTGAGCTATGAAAATCAAAAGAAAACTACTAAAGTTAATTCAGTAAAAATCAATTTTATATTTACTCTATATAATACACTGCCAACCTGTGGAGACTACAAGAGGAGAGAGGAAAGTCTCCATATTTCAGAAAGCCACAGTTATTCTGGAAGTCTGTAATCTCGTAGGGAACAAGAACTAACTAATGTGTGTGAGTTCCTGTAATTGAAAGAAGGGTCATATCTTAGAGGTGTTCAGAAGAGAGATCATTAGTCTTTCAGGGTTTTGGGTGGGTGAGGAGTGGTATGGAAGTGGAAAATCAGGTAAGACAAATTTGTACTATAATTGAGAACCACATGTGGCTATTTAATTAAAATTAAATAAAATTTAAAATTCAGTTCCTCACAGTAGCCATCTTTCACGTGCTTAATAGCCACATGTACCTAGGGACTAGAATATTTCCATCATTGCAGAAACTTGGGCAGAATTTTGTAACACTGTTTCTCGTTTCCAACATGCATTACAAGACAATTCTGACTTCTTTGACTGCACTGAAGTTGTTTGTCTTCTTTCTTTTCTTTTTTGTTTTACACTAGGAAAAGAAAAACTTTATTAGAAGGGAAAGTACACTTCCAGACATGGAAGCGGGGCTGAGCAAGAGAAGTGTGGCTCAAAAGGCTGTTTGTTTTCTTTATAATGAACACTCCATTTAGCTAACAGGATTAAGACATTTTAGGATGACTATTTTAAACATCACTGTTTAGTGTACAAAGATTAAAGATTAATTTTATATCTAAAGCAGTACAAATTTAAATTGTTGATTTGTGAAATATATGGATTAAGCACTTTTCAAGAATTGGGCAAACATTTGTGTTTAAACATACCTTGAATGAAATCATGACTTTTCATTACCCACCACGTGTATGGCCTTGACTAATTTGTGCTGTATTGATGAACTGGTGAAGAAGGATTCTCCATGTCGAAGTCCTTTAATCCATGATCAAATCTTTAAAAGAAAAAAAGACATTCTTTTCAAAAACTGAGGTGAAGTCCACATAGTATAATATTAATTATTTTAAAGTGAACAATTCAGTGGCATTGAGTAGACTCACAGTGTTGTACAGTTACCATCTCTGTCTAGCTCCAGAATATTTTCATCACCTCTAAAGGAAACCTGTCCCCATTAAGCAGTTAATCGCCATTTCCCTTTCCTCTTAGCTCTGGCTTTGTCTTATAGATATACCTATCCTGAATATTTCATATAAATGGAATCATACAACATATGACCTTTTGTGTCTGGCTGGCTTATTTCACTATAATCAAATTTAACTAAAAATTTAAAAATCCAGATTATCATCTTCGTTAAACCACAAGTAGTAGTGTCTTCTGGTAAAATCTTTTCACTTCTTATTTTAAAATTTGTGGTAATATACCAAGTATCACAGCCAGTTCATTTGTCTTCCTTTATCATAAACAGTATTAGTTTCTCCTTTTACTTTGGGGTATGACAATTTTATTCACTGGTACACACAGATAACTTTCCTACTTAATTAGAATTGTTCCTTGTTTGAATACTTGATAAGAGTGTGTTTCTGAACACGGAGATACCATTGGAAGATATGAAACCATAATTTCTTTCCTCAGGAGGTTTATTAACTTCTCTTTTACTAGAAGATAATGAACCGTGTAGGATCTGAGAAATCAAGCTCTAACAGTCATCTGTTTGCTAACCATAAACAAATGACTTTGGACCTAGAATTCTAAACCCCTGCTTGTGAGTAGTCAGTAAAATCTGGATGTGGTATGCATTATGAATAAGACCAGAGTAGATGAACAGGAGATGGTTGCCTGTGCCTGTGTGAAGACTGGGTACAACTATATGGAGAAGTTTAAATAACATTTTGCTATATTTGTGATTTTTCTGGCTCTTATATTCCAAAATCATCAGTTGGCAAATGTTGCTAGCTTTGTTAGGTTTATAACATGATCCATGATCTGAATACATGGAAAGCTTTTTTCCAGAGCAGCGAAACTGTGGTCAATTTCTTTATTTCAGGACTCTTTAATATCATAATTATGTGTATATTAAGCATTTCATTGCTTGCAGTACTTGGTACTGTCTCTGCCTCTGAGCTTTACAAACTTAAGATAAACATAAATGTAGAATGTTTTGAAAAGTAAAACTGTGAACAGATTTTTCATTGTGCGGCATTATGCAGCTGTGAAGGTGGTCTCATGACTGATGTAACAGTCCTAAGAAGTACCTTACAGCCTTATGCATGTACAGTATTGTATGTCTGTAAATCTAAGAGTTGGTTCTAGAACTGGGTGTTCAGGTGTATGTACTATTTGGCTTTGAAAAGCTCACTTACAGTTTGGGGGATATCGGGTGATGGAGGGGGGAACCCACCATAACAATTGTCTCAAATCTTTTTTGTGCCTTAAAATACTTGTATATCATAACTTAGTTTACTTTTACTGAGTGACTTTCAACAGAGGCTGTTTGAAGAAAGGCAAGAGAGCACTTGTATGATTTGGAAAAGCCCAACTGAGTCTGATATGTCTGTGTATTAGATGGTAGTGATTATAGTATTTCATAGGGTTTTGGTGGGATTTACATTATATAGCAATCAGCATATAAAAGCTCAATAAAAATTCACTGGAGTTAGGATAATGTGCCACCACCTCCACCCCCACCTTCAGCACTGTATGGATTTGTGAGTACTTTGTATCCTTCCTTGTCTGGCCCATAATACATACTCAGTACATATTAGTTGATAAAATAGAGTTGATACTCAGTACATGTTATGGGGTGAAGACTCATTTGTTGAGTATCTGCTTGGCGCTAGGAGTTATATTTAATTGACACTAAACATGTATTCTCATTTAATCCTTTCAACAATCCTGTCAGGTAGATGGCATGTCATTTCTATGAATCCAATGAAATAATTACATCTCAGAAGTTAGTAGTGACAAGCCACAATTTAGAGTCAGGAATCAGCTCAGTTCTAGCCTCTTACCACTCTCCCATGCCGCCTCCTCCATCTTTAGGGTGGCATATGAACTTAATTCATTTAGCACTGCCTGGCTTTCTCTGAATTCAATAACTTTTCCTTAACTTACCCATAAACTTTGCTTTGTAATGGGAAAACAAAGGTTAATCTACATTATTTCTGAAGTATAATTCCTGTTCCCTTCTAAACCTAGTTCAATTGATTTTTTCCCTCCGTTTCTGTTACTATCCTGCTAATCAGTCACATAGGTTGGGGTCATCTGAGACCTTTCACTCTTCCTACTCCTGTCAGATACTGCATTCATTATCTTTGCACTTAACCCCCCCTCTCTAGTTGTATTGCTCTGTTATCCTAATGGCATGCTTTCTTGTAGTAGTGATGTTGGTCTTTCTGCTTGTAGTGTCTTTCCCTCTCTAGTTCATCTATATACTACCATAGCATGATCTTCCTAAGTGATACTCGATGTGTCACTTGCATCAAGAAAAAAACTTGATTGCCCTTTACTTATCAGGGACAGGAAACTACTTTAACGATTTTATGTTATTGAAGATTGGGCCCAAAACCTTTTCTTGACTCTGACATGTGTTAATACTTTCCGGGTAGTGATTTTAAATATGAGTTTTGCTGGTTATGAATTAATTATTTATTACTTGGTGTGCAGGATTCATGTGATTCAAATTCTTTGTCTTTTATATCTTGGAGATTCTTTAAAACAAGGGCACTTTCATATTTGACTGTCAATTAAGTTTATCAGACATTAAAAAAAATAGACTTCATAGTTGGGTAACAAGTATATGTTCTTATAACATCTCTTCCAGTGATGTCATAAGTAGATCTGTAATGTGGAAAATGGATTGTTGCTTAATCTTAGAATTCTAATATAGAACAAAACTGGCATCATTGTAATCACCTTTTCTGAGATGTTGTAATTTTATATTTTATTGGTAGCAAAGATAATTTATTCAGGGATCTTGATGATAACATGTATGATTATAGAATCTTAAAAAGGGCTAGTCATAGACTTCTTGGGCTAGAGCTACCAAAAGAAACTCTAGAGCAGCAATATATATTTGTTGAGCAAATCTTACTAATCCGATGTGTACTGAGCTACAGATTACTTTTACAGTATCTGTGAAGGAAAGTTTAGGAAGCAAATAGAATAAGCATGCTTTTATGAATACATTTCAGTTACTTAAAATGTTTTAAAATTGGCTATAATTGGTAGATTTTAAAAAGTAGGTTAAACAGACAATTTGAAAACCTGAGTTAGTTGCCATTGGTCTGAATTTTGAGGTTTTTGTTGTGTTTTGGATGTTTTTACTGTTTTTAAAAATATAAATAAAATGAATGTATAGGTCTTTATTTTTAATAGAACTTATTTCTATTAAACAGCACCTGTGGAACCTTCTCAAGAGGAACAGTCATTGTTGTGTGAAGGTAATTTCCTATGATGTGACTCTTTGACTATCTAATTTGAGAAAACATTAAGTTATCTACAGTGTGTAAAGCTAGATATTGTTTTGTAAATATATATTATATCTCAATTTCTTGTCTAGGTTCAAATTCAGCTGTTAGCATGGAACTTTCAGAACCTGTTGGTAAGAAAATTTCTGACCATATTAATACAGTAATAAGAAACTCTTTCACTCTCAAGATTTAAGGTGCAAATGTAAGTGTTATGATTATTGTAATGCCTACATTTAAAACTGACATTGAGTCTTTCTTTGCTATTAAGATTTAGAAAGCAGAACTAATTGGGCATTAATACTGTTGTGATAAATTTATGATTGCCAATATAAAAGAATTGAGTGGAAGAATGTTACAGTCAGTTTAAATAGTTGTACCTGTTCCATAGACTTTGAAAATTTTTCTTCCCTTTTGTAACTATTACTCTTAAGGGTTTCATACTCTCAAGGCAATTAATAAAGTTGATGCCAAAGTTAACACTTGCAGAAGAAAAAGAAAAGATCTTTTGAATCCTTTAACACTTTCCTGTGTTCTGATTTAAAATTTTCCCTTTTTTCCACTGTCAGCATCTTAACTCTGGAATAACAGGGCTGTTAGTAATGTTAGATCCCCTGCTTACATGTTCGTCCTTATGAAAATGAAGCTTTGTTAAAACGGCAGTCTTTCATAGTCTCTGAGTCAGAGCTCTGATGTCAGCGGTGAGGCCAGCTCGAAAGCTATTATTATCCATTTCTGTTGTGAAAGATTTTCTTGCTTATGTGTCTGTCACTAGACATCAGGGAATGGAACTAAATGTGCAAAGTTTCATTTGTTGTTTGAAAGCGTCTGTGTTATAAAGTCTATAGATTATAAATCTTTTTCAGAATACTAAGTTAAAATGCCTTATTTCAGTAGAAAATGGAGAGACAGAAATGTCCCCAGAAGAATCATGGGAGCACAAAGAAGAAATAAGTGAAGCAGAGCCAGGGGGTGGTTCCTTGGGAGATGGTAGGCCCCCAGAAGAAAATGCCCAAGAAATGATGGAAGAGGAAGAGGAAATACCAAAACCTAAATCTGTGGTTGCACCGCCAGGTGCTCCTAAAAAAGAACATGTAAATGTAGTATTCATTGGGCATGTAGGTAAGTTACACTCATGGCTATTTTAAGAAATGACCAAAATTATGAAGGACGTCAACATGGAACATCTTATTTAGTTTTTTGGGAGTGTTTAGTGAAACTGAACTGAGTTAATTTAAAATGCCCTGATTTTTAACCTGCCAGATTTCTTAGCTGGCAGAAATTGCCAACACTTTGTTCTTGAAGGCTGGACAGATTAACAATTTTGTAATGGCATGGAAACTGGAAGAAGATAAGCGTCATTGTATTTGTATGTGATGCATAATTAGTCTTTAATCCACTGATGATGGCTCAGTGGATATGTTAATATCCTAGGAAATGTGCCTATTTTTGTGTGTGTGAACTTAATTTGTTCGTTTTATGGGATTATGTGACATAAGAAATTAGTAATTTGGAGTCAGGTTGCTGA